GATTTCTATAAAACCGGCTTCTATAAATTCGAACTAATTTCGTAGTGTAGACATACCCTAAGACTACAGGGTCTGTGTTTAAGAAGTTCCTTTGCAAAGCTTGTATTCCTTGCTTTATCTGCCATGTGTCCTCTAAGAGTTAAACTCCTGAGGGTACATGGGGGCAGAACTCTGGGGACAGCATGCATAAGCTACTGGTGGGAGGCCTGGGGGGCTCAGCACTGCTCTTGGGTTGGAGGGCAGTAGGACTGTGGGATTTCATATGCCAAAAGGGGCACCAGAGAGGACATCTGCACCCTGGGAGTGTGCGTGAAAGCTCAGAGCTAGAGACAGTATCAGGAGGCTGCTCAGAGCCAGCAGGCTTGAAAGCACAGGGAATCCTGACATTGAGTCCAATAGAGCTGATTGGTGATCAGCCACTAGAAGGGAACTCAGCCAGGGCTGTAACAGAGGCCAGGGATGATTTATTTGCCTCCAGCAAGCCATGGTGGAAATCCCAGAGGGAGGGCCTGACATGGGGACTGGGCTAATTCAGTTATCTCCATCGGGCTAATCCAGTTGTGTCCTGCTGAGAGGATTTTCCATGTAATGTGGTGGATAGGTTGGTTCAGATCTAGACTGAGAAGTCTCCTGGCATGAGGGCAGAGCAAGGTCTGGAGGGACGAAATGCCAGGTCTTCTCTGCTTGAGGTTCAGCCTGTGCTGGGGGAGCTTTGGGCTATGATCTAGGGTTGGACTCAAGTTTCCTGGCTGGTGAGGGACAGCAGGCAAAATCCAGCACATGGGGAGAAAGTCCTTGGGCTGCTGCCCTTTGGAAGACTGTTAGGCCTCTGCTCCAGACACCGACCATGTGATGTGGACAATCAGGTTTCGCTAAGAAAGTTGTGGTGAGGCAGCTCTGACAATGCCCGGAGTCCTCAGCTTTCTTAGGGTTGGATGCGAAGACTCTGGAGGTCAATGGGAGCCCTTCGACTGACTTCAACAGGCTTTGGGCCAGGCCCTTTGAGTGTCAGTTCTGTGGAGCAGGGACTGGGTTTTCAGGTGGGTATTTGCACAATGGGGTCCCGCTCCTGTTTGGGGCCTATGGAGGCTTCTGGAATGCAGTAATGCTAATCATTTGCATGACTCCAATTCCTCTGACTGGAGGCCAATATAAGGCTGAGAAGTTGAACTAATAGCTGATGATCAGTGATCTGTACTGATCCTCTGAGATATGTCAGATGCCTTTGTTGCCACTGATCATGAGTTTCCGGTGGTGCATCTGTGGTCCTTAGCAGTCACTGGAGTGACTCTGTTCCCCTTTTTTTGGAAGTGCCCAGTGGATCCTATTCAGCTGATAGTTCATTGCTTTGAGGGGTCTCTCCTGTAGGGCGTCCTTCAGTTTTCTCTCCCCGTCTTTCTGTTTGATATGTATATAAGGCTGTTATGAGGATGCAATGGTGCAGTGGATATGCTGATGACACCCTCAAGCTCTGTGTCTCTATTTTTTTCTGAGCAGGTTGATGCAGTTGAGTTACTCAGCCAGTTGCTGGCTGAGGCTGGACCCAGATCAGACTGAAGTCGTGCTCAAATGGTGGGGAAAGCAGCTGTAGGAAGAAGTGAAGATTATATCACCCCCTTGACTGGAGGATTGTGGCCACGGGGGAACCTGTGGGACTGTTAGCTGCTGCTGGATGCTCGAGTAGCAGCTATGGTCTACAAACCTTTCTCTACACTGGGTGAGAAGAAGGCAATGGCTACCGATGCCCTTATCAAGGCAAGACTGGGCTATTGTGATGTGTGCAACATGGGCCTGAGTCTTGGGACCATTCAGAAGCTGAATTTTAGTGCAGAATGCAGCTGCCTGCTTATCAAGTGATGTTTCATGCAGGCATCCCAGCGCACTAGTGTGCAGGATGTACTGGCTTCTGACTAGGCTCCCGGGGGAGTTTAGGAGGCTGTGTTTGACCTCTAAAGCCGTATGTGGTTTGGGACTTTCCCCTCTGATATCACTAGCCACTGGTCTAAATGGGAAGGGGGTGTGCACAGAATATGTCCTTAATTCTGGGACATGCTCCTCCTTCCTGGATCTTCAAGCCCCCAGATCTGTTGATCTATTTGGAATCCTTCCATGCTGGAAGGCTCATCTATGTCCCAAGGGTTCTCCCAAAAGGGGGAGTGAGGGATGTGTGGAGGCTGTTATAGATGGGAAATATATGAGCCTTTCATTAGGGATATCTGTTTCATTTGCCCATCTCCACTCTGTTACAGGCACTTAGAGCCCATTTCTGTGTGGCTTGCATTGGCTTAGCTTCATCTATTTCAAACCAATCTCATCATATCAGTGCAATCTGCTTGTATAGATGCATTTAAACTGGTTTAATCCTTTGCTTTTAACACATTGAGTTAACCTGCATGGGCAAATCCCAATGTGAGTGTTAAACTGGTTCAAGTGGCAACCGCCAGCTTGGCCAACATGCTGGGGATTGAATTGGGGACCTCCAGAATTAAGAACATCAGCTGCTATAGTTTAAGCTAACAAGGCAAGGCTCTCACACTAGGGCTGTGTGAGGCTCATAACCTTTGTTGATCAGGTACCTCGTTGGGACCCTGTAATACTCTCATCAGTGGGTTACATCTGCATTAGGGGTTTGTTCTGGTTTCGCTAGTTAAACTTGGTCAGTTTTTCTCTCTCTGTCAAAGTGGGGTTAGAGCCCTGAGTCCGAGCCATAGCAATACAGTTAAATCAACTAATAAAATGAGTAATTAGGAAGATTTATCAGAGCACATTAGGGCTGATCTAAAAAGACGACGTTCAAGAGCGGTTTCCTCTCCTGCAACTGTGCTGCAATGTCTTGCAGGGTTAAGAAGCAACATGGTCGTTAAAAGTCGGCAATATTGCCACATGGGTCTCTTTGGAAAGACTATTAGATCTACGGATGTTTCCCTCTTCCTGTCATATGACTGGGCTCATGGTAGACAGGTGAGGATGCACGTACTATTTCTTTAACTCTGCGGGAGGAAGCCTAGCAAGAGAGTTGGGGCTAGGGAACATAGATGCATTGCAGTGAAGCAATGGGAGGGACAGGATAGCTGTAGGGATGATATTGCCTCCCTTATTCTAATAAAGTTCCTTGTTCAGTGTTTGAACCAAGCAACTCTTTCCAGGATTCTTTCCCCTCATCACATGACATGGTGCCAGATATCAAACTCACTTTGAAGCAACCTAAAGAAGAGGTTGATGAAAATGCAAATCCTCCACCAGACTTTGATGAGTCCCTGGAATGACATGAGTGCAAGGAGCTCTTCCCTGGATTCCAGACCCCATTAAAGAGCAGCGACCCAGAGAAGGTGTGACCGGGGTCCTAGTGGGGGCCAGCTATGGTCACTCAATTAGGGTGAACTGCAAAGAATGGGGCAGCCAAACCCCCAAAAGTTGGTGGATATTCCAATACTTAGATTCACCGAGCCAGCGTAAAACAGCTTCTTTATTACCTTACTGGTTACTCAGAAGTCCAAACAACACAGTTCCCTTAAAGTGATCCAGCCTCAGGCCTCCATCCAGATACGCATGTCAAATATGATGAAAATTTTTGTAAATCTTATTTCATCATAGAAAAGAAAAGGTTCTACCAATCCCAAAGGATTAGACACATTATGTCCTAGGTTAATGAGTGTTTCAGATCTTACCCAAATACACGCTTACAGCCAATTCTTATTAACTCAACTAAAATTTATTAAAAAACAAAGAGAGAGAGAGAGTACGGTTAAAAGATCAATATACATACAGACATGAGTTCAATTCATTGAGGTTCAGATTCACAGCAGAGATGGTGAGCTTTGTAGTTGCAAAGAGTTCCTTTAGAATTCAGTTCATAGGTCATAGTCCAATGTCCAAATCGCATATTCAGGGCGTACCAGCATAACTGGGACCTCAGTCTTTTGACTCAAACTTCCCCTGATGAAGTCTAAGCAGATCTGAGATGACAGAATCAGGACCCAAGGATCTTTTATACAGTTTCATGTCTTTTAACAAGTTGGGATTTCCTCAGGGAACAAAAGGTCAATAGGATGACTTTGAAAGAGGTCCATCACCGGTACTTAGCTATACAAATTAACATAAGGCCATTTGCTTTTTCCTCCACCATTCACAGGACATTTCAAAGAGAGATGAATACCCACATATCCCCTGTTTACAATTAATTTAAATGCAAGGATCTTTCTTTGACCTCTGAATTATCAGAATACAGCATAGACAGGGACTGTTGATTACATTGTCGGACCCTACTCATACATATGTAAAAACACAAACATTATCTCCCCAGTGTCTTTTGAGGGTTATTTATTTTGCAGGATGTTTAACCCTTTCTAGCCATGCATCACAGAAGGGTAACACTAAGATCTGTTTTAGCTTATGCAATGGGGACTGAAAATCATTTGCGTTTGCCAAGGAAGGAAATAAGAATGTGTCACATCCTTCTTCAAAAGCCTGACAAGCATTTCATTCTCTAAAGGAACGCTGTACGCAAACAGACAAGCTTTCACAATAGGGTGCAGAGAAAACATGGAAGCCTTTGCCCAAGCTCTACATAAACAAGCAGAGCATTGTGGCTTTGGTATCCATGATCAAGGACATTGTGCAGCAGAGATTGTCTAGTAGCTGGGGTTTTCAGCAAGGAGCTTTCAGAACAAACATAGCCAATATCTGAGCTAACACTGGACCAGGCAAATCCAACCAGCACAGCAACCTGAGCTAGTGAAAATTAACTGCCAAAAAAACTTTGCTATTGCAGTGTTAAGGTTGCTCAGTAGTGCCTCGTGCCCTTCAAGATCATGGAGAGAGATTAAATTTAAACCTCTGAAAACTAAGAAATTAAGAGAGTTATGGTACATGATACCCCCCCCCCAACCTTAACTCTGCCCTCCTGGAACTGGCAATAGTCACTAGAAATGGCTCAGTCAGGGTGGTGCCACAATAAGTGAATGCAAATCACCCAGCAAGAAAATAGTGGAAGCAGATGTGAGAAGAAGGAAAGAAAACATTCCCATGGGGAAAAGGGAAGCATTATCTTAAGAGCGCTGAGTTCCCATGGGAAAAAGGGGGTAGGTGAGGCAAAGGCAGACTCAGAGCAAGTGAGGTCTGCTCAGCTAGTAGAAACGTGCAAGAAAACCAAGAAACAATGACAATGAAAACATGTTTGTACAACAAAAGAATTAAGGAGATGACTTCACTCACCTTCCCTTGGTTTTTTTTCCAGAGATCTGTGTCCAGAGAAAGCATCATGAACAGGTATCAGAGGGGTAGCCATGTTAGTCTGTATGCACAAAAACAACAAGGAGTCCGGTGGCACCTTAAAGACTAACATTTATTTGGGCATAAGCTTTTGTGGGTAAAAAACCCACTTCTTCAGATGCATGGAATGACAATTACAGATGCGGGCATAAATATATTGGCACATGAAGAGAAGGGAGTTACCTTACAAGTGGAGAATGAGTGATGACAAGGCCAATTCAGTCAGGGTGGATGTGGTCCACTCCCAATAATTGATGAGGAGGTATCAATACCAAGAGAGGGAAAATTGCTTTTGTAGTGAGCCAGCCACTCCCAGTCCCTATTCAAGCCCAAATTAATGGTGTTAAATTTGCAAATGAATTGTAGCTCTGCAGTTTCTCTTTGAAGTCTGTTTTTGAAGTTTTTTTTGTTGAAGTATGGCTACTTTTAAATCTGTTATTGAATGTCCAGGGAGATTGAAGTGTTCTCCTACTGGCTTTTGTATGTTACCATTCCTGATGTCTGATTTGTGTCCATTTATTCTTTTACATAGAACCTGTCCCATTTGGCCAATGTACATGGCAGAGGGGCATTGCTGACATGTGATGGTATATATCACATTAGTAGATGTGCAGGTGAACGAGACACTGATGGTGTGGCTAATGTTGCTGGGGCCTCTGATGGTGTCGCTAGAGTAGATATGGGGACAGAGTAGGCAACAGGATTTGTTACAGGGATTGGTTCCTGGGTTAGTGTTTCTGTGGTGTGGTGTGTAGTTGCTGGTGAGTATTTGCTTCAGGTTGGGGGGCTGTCTGTAAGCGAGGACTGGCCTGCCTCCCTAGGTCTGTGAGAGTGAGGGATCGTTTTCCAGGATAGGTTGTAGATTGTTGATGATGTGCTGGAGAGGTTTTAGCTGGGGTCTATACGTGATGGCCAGTGGTGTTCTGTTATTTTCCTTGTTGGGCCTGTCCTGTAGTAGGTGATTTCTGGGTACCAGTCTCACTCTGTCAATCTGTTTCTTCACTTCAGCAGGTGGGTATTGTAGTTTTAAGAATGCTTGATAAAGATCTTGTAGGTGTTTGTCTCATGAACAGGCTGGGTTGTTAATCTCAAAATCTGCAGTACTATTGTTAAATTTAAAATTGATTCAGGGGCAGAAGGGTCTGTGATTTGTAAAGAGACTTTTAAGAAGAGCCCTCACTCTGACTCAGAGTAACTGAGGGCAGAGCTCGGTAGCCCAGAGGCACAAATAAATGACTGTGGGCTTGGCTACACTTGGGACTTCACAGCGCTGCCGTGGCAGCGCTGTGAATCGCAAGTGTAGTCGCGCCGCCAGCTCTGCGAGAGAGCTCCCGCAGCGCTGTATGTACTCCACCTCTCTGAGGGGAGTAGCTTGCAGCACTGCGAGCGAGCGTGCAGCGCTGCAGGCACTGATTACACTGGCACTTTACAGCGCTGCACTCGCTGCACTGAGGGGGGTGTTTTTTCACACCCCTGAGCGCAGCAAGTTGCAGTGCTATACAGCGCCAGTGTCGCCAAAGCCTGAATCTTATCAGAACACGAGAGAGTAATTCTAGATGGATGGACTATGTAAAAAACCCCAGATCCTTCCAAACACAAAATCCAATTGGGAATACAGTGATGGAATTTCTGCATCTCATGGGATTCTGTCCAAAGGACATCCTTGTTATGATGCCACACAGCGTGAGATCACAAATACTAAGCATTATCCACAGTGCTCTTCTGAGTATGGAGAAGTATAAGAACAAAGCCCGAGATGCCATGTTGCAGCCAGGCAGGAATGCCCCTTTGAAGATAAGGTATCCTAGTGTGGAATCTGCAGTCAGCTGAGGAAACAAGAATCTCTGTTTGCCTTTGGTTTAAAATTGGTACAGATCTGTTCGAATTAAGTGGGAATGATCCTCCATTATTAGTGGACAACTACTGAATTTAAAAAAATTGAGATGTTGCACAACACATCAAGTAGCAATGTAATAACAAACACACTGTGAATTGCAGGTAGCTCATCATGTGATTCCAGAAGTATCACAGATAAAGGTGCCCACAAGTCACAAATTATTTTTATTATAATAGCATGTAGGGGCCCCAGTTGTGGACCAGGACGCTATAGTGCTAGGCGCAGTACAAAACACAACAGATGGTTCCTGCCCCAGAGAGCTGACAGTGTGAGTATACGACAAGAGACAACAGATGGATGCAGACAGATAGGGAAGCACAAGGAAACAATGAGAAAATATTGGTCAGCATGATAGGCAGTTGATCTCAGCACAACAATCCTGGTTTTCCAGGTCAAAATGACTTGTTTTTTAAATGTAAGCTAACTGGACTGAAAAGAAAAGAAAAGAAAAGAAAAGAAAAGAAAAGAAGTTGAAATTGCAATGAACTGTTTTAGTTTTTCTGTTTGCAAACTTTTTTTGAGATTATAACTTTTTGTCTTGATTCAAGACGGGGAAAAATTTCTAACTCTTGAAAAATATTTGCAGGATGGAAAAACGATTTCCCACCCAGCTCTCACAAGTAACAATGGGCCACTCAGGCTGACATCTTATTCTTCATGGACTTCGACCTGGTGGCCACCATCTCCACCATCCTGGCTTCCTATGGCTCCATTGCTGCTGCTGTGCTAAAGATCTGCCCCCTCAGCTGGGAGTCTGCACCCTGCCATCTCTACCTGTGCTGCCCACCTGACAGCTGTGGGGTTGCTGTACAGCACCCTAGCCTTCATGTACATGCGCCCCACTTCCAGCTACTCGCTGGGCACCAACAAAGTGGCCTCTGTGTTCTATACAGTGGTGACCGCCATGCTAAATCCCTGATCTACTGCCTGAAGGACGCCTTGCACAGGGCTCTCTTGGGGAAGGAGGCCAGTTGGCTGGGCAGGCAAAGGCCTTGCTGCAAGGCTCACATGAGACAATAACCTGGGAAGAGGATGGGGCTGAAGTGACCTTGGCGATAATGACAGCAGTCCACTCAGGGGGCTGGAGGCTGCAGGCCTGCTGGGAGACATTCTCTTTCCCTTTATGTCTGTGCCCAACCCTCCATCTTGACCAGCCTGTTTGTGTTATGTACTGCAGTCATGCAGTGCAATTGCTCCTCAAGCAGAGTACGCATATTCTGAGAAGCCATCTCTGAGCTAGCTTTAATCTAGCTAGATTGGGTACTGGAGGTGGGAAGCTGCAGCAGTGCCTGCTTGGAACCCTGGGTAATAACTCGTGGGTCTGCCATGGCTTCACTGCTCCAGTACCCAAGCTAGCTAGGCTAAAGCTAACTCAGGTATGTCTACAGTAACTGGAATCACTGCCCATGGTTGCAGAGGTGCCATACCCTGTGTGTCTCTGTCTGTTCTCTCTCCCCCTTCGCTGTCTGTGCCTCTGCGCCTGTTCCAAATGTGTTTCACAGCATACACACAGGCAAATTAGCTAAAAACATAAAATACTCTTGCTGGAAGGTTGCAATGTAACCATAGGTGCCGACTTCCCCGCTTTCCCCTGGGTGCTCGACCCTCCTCTTCCCCCAGCCCCGCCCCCACTCCACCCCTTCCATGTGGCCCCGCCCCTACCCCATCCCTTCCCACCCATGCCCCGCCCTCATTTCAACCTCTTATCCAAAGTCCCCGCCCCAACTCCACCTCCTCCCTGCCCTTATTCCAACTCCTTCCCCAAATCCCTGTCCTGGCCCCCACTCTTCCCCTGAGTGCTCCACGTTCCTGTTCCTCCTCCACCCTCCCAGCACACCAGTACAACAAACAGTTGTTTGGCGGCGGCCAGGAGAAAGCGCTGGGAGGTAGGTGGAGGAACGGGGATGTGGAGTGCCCAGGGGACGGGGAGGAGAAGGAGGAGGAGGTGGGGGGGGAGGGGAGCTTGGCTGCAGAGCACCCACTAATTTTTCAGCACCTATGAATGTAACATGACTTATTATTTCCTAGTCTCCAGAACCCTAACACACAAGAACCAAAACCAGAGTGAAACAAAGCAAACTGCTACATAAGGCAGTGATGCATAGGTGGTACTTAAGTCTTCCATTTGGGTAGGCTTACACGCGAGTGCCAGAAGCTCCGTAGAGGTGTGGGGGGCCACTGGCGCCCGGACCATGTCCCTGTCTTGGAGACCCCGCCTCCACTCTGCCTCTTTCACCAAGGCCTCATTCCATCTCTTCCCGCCCCCACTCTGCCCCTCCCCTGAGCCCCCCACCCGCCTGATTCTCTCTACCTCTTCCCCTGAGGTGCCCCCACTTGCCCACTGCTCGCTCCTCCCCACAATAGAGAGGAGTGAGTGGCGGGTGGGGGATCCTCAGGGGAAGAGGCCAAGCGAGGGTGGGGCCTCTGGACAGAGCATGAGCAGGGCCATGGTCTGGGACCCGGTGGCCACCCCACTTCTAGGGAGCTTTGCTTCCGGTGCTCCAAAGGTGGTGGGCCGGCACGCCTCCAAAAGGAGGTGACCACACCACATCCGCAGTATTTGCCTTGTTGCATGACCAGCCTTTTTTGGGGAGGCTTAGTCTCCCCAGGCCTCTTATACCTGCCGCCCATGCAGTGAAGCACAACACATCCACCTTGCTCTAGGCTGGCTCTTTGTGGACTGACTCTCACAGGTCCCTACAGAGGCCCCTAGCTTGCAAGCAGGACCAGGAAACCCCTTAGGATCTAAAGTGAGAGCTTGTAATTTTTATAGAGCTTTAAACACACCACAAAATCTAAGTTATCACTCAGAGTTGAAGGCTAGAAGGGATATTTAATCTTATTTACTGTATATTACATGATACCAACACCACCAGTCACCGCCCCCCCCACCCAACAGCCAGAATTAGACCAAAGCATTACAGCCTGCAGGAGACTAAACTATTGTATGCCACACGGGCAGAGAACAGAAAGGAGAACCGAGATGTACCAATGCCCAAGGCCCCAGCAATGGCAGAGAATTGCTTTAGTGAGATATCCCCAGATGATCCTCGCAAGCATCCTGTGCCCCATAATGCAGAACCCAGTACTGAAATGTAGCCACCTCTGGGCTGGATCATGGTAGCTGTTTAACAGCGTACTACAACATCATGCAATTGTTTTTAGGAGGGGAAGTGAAGAATAATTTCTTGCACAGAGGGTAGAGCGTAGCTCTAATTGGAATTTGTCCTGGATAACAGAACAGGCTTGTTTACATTTGGCTGTGTGCGTCCACTAAGCCTTTGTGAACCACTCAGGTCTGGACAGAGTGACTCTAGCTGTGATTGCAACAAGACAAAAACGTTGCTGTGGGTTTCACACCCTGACGCTTGCAAAAAGTGCAATGGAAACTGACTGTCAACTTGCATGGGCCAAAGCCTTC